CACCTCTACAGGTTCGCGGTGAGGTCCCCGACCGATTCCCCTCGTTTCCTAGTTCAATCCACCCCGTTAGGCGCCGCCCCTGTGCTCGTCCATGGCCACCATGGCCGGAGCCCGAGCTCCTGCATACATACTCTGCTGCTGCCTTCCCCTCACTATCGCGCCCTGCCTCACCTGGAGGCCCCTTCGGGCTGCCCGGGCGCTCGCTGGCCGGGCCGCCTGCAGACGTCCATGCCGCCCGAGGCACACCCCGCTACAGCCGCCGCTGCCGCACTCGTACTGCTGCTCTTGCCGCTGCCGCGGCTAGTACTGCTACTGCTGCCCGCTATGCACTACTGCTGCTCCTTGCGTGCTGCAACGCTGCCCCTCACCCGCATCGCCCGGCGCCGCTGCTCCCCTGCTGCTGCCGGCTGCGCGTCCCGCTTGCCCGTCGCCGCCGGCTTCGTCCATGGCCTCGACCAGTGCCGCGCAAGCAGGCTCACCCCTTCGCTGGCCGTGGCCTGGGCCAGTACCTAATGGGTCCAAGCCCAGTTTAATTAGAGGGGTAACCTCCCCACTAGATCTATTGATGATTTCTGGGTTTGGAGCCATGAGCGTAAGGGTATATTTACAGTTAGATCAGCCTACCGCATGTTGGTAACAACTAAAATCAGGAGGGAAGCTTGGCTGGAAGGACGGAGCGATTCGTCGAATACTGAATCAGAGGAACAGTCGTGGTGCCAACTCTGGAAGATCCAGGTTCCTTCAAAAATCCGAGTGTTTCTTTGGAGATTAGCACAACAGTCTATACCTTCTGCAGACTTGCTCCACCACCGTCAAATGGCGACGACAAGCCGGTGCAGAATTTGCGGCAATGAGGATTCGTGGCGTCACTCGTTGTTGGAGTGCACCATGTCGAGGTGCGTGTGGGCGCTCGAGGAAGAGCATCTGCTGTCGGCGTTAAGTGAGGTAACAGAACCTGATGCACGCAGATGGATCTTCACTATAATGGAGAAAGTATCGTCGTCAGATTTCATCAGAGCTCTAGTCAGTCTGTGGGCTATTTGGCATGCTCGTCGGAAGGCAATCCATGAAAATATATTTCAAAGTCCAGCGGATACGCATCTTTTTGTTGATCGCTTCATCTCAGAGATATCAGTCTCTAGGCCTACGCAACAGAACTAGGTGAGAGCTCCAACGTTGATTCAGCGCTGGCTTCCTCCGCCACCGGGCCACTGCAAGATCAAAGTGGATGGGTCTACAACCAAAACAGCAAGACGCGGATCAGTCGGTGTCATCTGTCGAGCCATGGATGGCTCGTACTTGGGAGCTTCAGCTATATGTTTTGAGGGTGTCTCCGACCCGGCGTCTCTTGAAGCCCTAGCGTGCAGGGAGGCATTGGCTTTAGCATCTGATCTAATGCAAACACAAGTGGTGGTCGCATCGGACTGCAAGGAAGTGGTCTCCAATATTTCTGAAGGCAATGGAGGAACACATGCACATATTATCCGGGAGATCAAGCAAATGGAGTCTGAATTTCAATCTTGTTCTTTTATTTTTGAACGTAGAACCACAAATATCGAGGCACATAGCCTCGCTAAATACGCGCTTAGTCTGTCTATTGGTCGCCATGTTTGGCTGCTCCAACCTCCAAACTTGAGATGTATTCCTCAGAACATTCTTGAGTAATAAAGCGTGTGTTTTAGCCTAAAAAAAGTAAAAAAGGGGGGGAAGTCCCTGTTAGATTTTTTTTAGTGCTAGTTAAATTTTACACCCCATGACATGTGAGTCCATTGACCCTGTTGACCAGTCAAAGTTTGACTGGTCAATCTTTTGACTGCACTGTTGACTAGACCCCTGGACCCCACCTGTCATACTAAGAGGCTAGTTACCCTCTGGGTACACATAGCAGTTTTCTCATTTAGTATTTCGAATTAAATTAAATCCAGAAATTTAGGAAATCATTTAAAACTTTGAAAAATCATATAAAATAATCCGTAACTCGGATGAAAATACTTTGTACATGAAAGTTGCTCAGAACGACGAGACGAATCCGGATACGTTGCCCGTTCGTCCGCCACACATCCCTAGCATAACAAACTCGCAACTTTCCCCCTCCGGTTCATCTGTCCGAAAACGTGAAACACCGGGAATACTTTTCCGGTTGTTTTCCCCCTTCGTTGGTATCACCTCGTACCGCGTTAGGGCACACCTAGAACCGCATATTGCCCTCTTATGCTTTGTGATGTTTTGATTGCCCTGTTATTTATTGTGTTCCTCCTCCGTTACTTCTTTTCGGTAGACCCCGAGACCGCTGCCGATACCCCAGAGATCGACTACATCGATGATCACCCCTCCTTGCCAGAGCAACCAGGCAAGCCCCCCCCCTTGATCACTAGATATCGCCTACTCTCCTCTATACTGCTTGCATTAGATTAGTGTAGTATGTTACTGCTTTCCGTTAATCCTATTCTGATGCATAGCTTGTCATTGTTGCTACAAATGTTGATACCTTACCTGCAATCCTAAATGCGTAGTATAGGATGCTAGATTATCATCAGTGGCCCTACACTCTTGTCCGTCTGCCATGCTATACAACTGGGCCGTGATCACTTCGGGAGGTGATCACGGGCATATACTATATACTTTACACTGTTACATTACCGGTGATATTGTTTGGAGATGGGGGCTGAAGGGGCAGGTGGCTCCATCCAGGTAGTGGTGGGCCTGAGTTCCCGATGGCCCCCGACTGTTACTTTGAGGCGGAGCGACAGGCAGGTTGAGACCACCTAGGAAAGAGGTGGGCCTGGCCCTGGTCGGCGTCCGTGGTTATTTCAAAATAACACGCTTAACGAGATCTTGGTATTTGAGTCCGAGTCTGGCTACTGGCCTATACGCACTAACCATCTACACGGGGACAGTTATGGGCACTCGACGTTGTGGTATCAGCCGAAGCCTTCGTGACGTCAGCGACTGAGCGGCGCGCGCCGGGTTGGACTGGAACGCCTACTCTTGTATAAGGGAGGCTAGGTCTGCTCACCGGTCGCGTTCGCAACGTACAGGTGTGCAAAGGGCGACGGGCCCAAACCCCTGCGCCATAGGATTTAGACCGACGTGTTGACCTCTCTGTTGTGCCTAGGTAGGGCTACGACGTGTTGATCTTTCGAGGCCGGGCCTGACCCAGGAAAGTGTGTCCGGCCAAATGGGATCGAGCGTGTTGGGTTATGTGGTGCACCCCTGCAGGAAAGTTAATGTATTCGAATAGCCGTGATCTTCGGTAACAGGAAGACTTGGAGTTGTACCTTGACCTTATGACAACTAGAACCGGATACTTAATAAAACACACCCTTCAAGTGCCAGATACAACCGGTGATCGCTCTCTCACAGGGCGACGAGGGAGGATCATCGGTTAGGGTTATGCTATGCGATGTTACTTGGTGAACTTACCATCTACTCTCTTCTCCTGCTGCAACATGGAGGTTATCAGAAACGTAGTCTTCGAAAGGACTAGCTATCCCCCTCTTATTCTGGCTTTCTGCAGTTCAATCCACATATGATACCCTTATCCCATTTGATACCAATGCATACAAATGTAGTGTAGCTCCTTGCTTGCGAGTACTTTGGATGAGTACTCACGGTTGCTTTGCTCCCCCTATTCCCCCTTCCTATACCCGATTGCTGCGACCAGATGATGGAGCCCAGGAGCCAGACGCCACCGTCGACGACGGCTCCTACTACACTGGAGGTGCCTACTACTATGTGCAACCCGCTGACGACGACCAGGAATAGTTTAGGAGGATCCTAGGCAGAAGGCCTGCGCCTCTTTCGATCTGTATCCCAGTTTGTCCTAGCCTTCTTAAGGCAAACTTGTTTAACTTATGTCTGTACTCAGATATTGTTGCTTCCGCTGACTCGTCTATAATCGAGCTCTTGTATTCGAGCCCTCGAGGCCCCTGGCTTGTAATATGATACTTGTATGACTTATTTTATTTGTAGAGTTGTGTTGTGATATCTTTCCGTGAGTCCCTGATCTTGATCGTACACGTCTGCGTGTATGATTAGTGTACGATTGAATCGGGGGCGTCACATAAGTATTGCACATCTAAATCCTATGGCATTGATCTTATGCGGAGATTCGTGTGATAATTTTCTTTTGCCTTTTTCTTTTCCTTTCTATACTTGATTGTATCACTTAGATGTGCAATAACTATAGCACATTTAGATGTGCCCTAGACAAACCCTAAAATTCTTAAATACCCCGGTGAGGAAAACAGAAAATCTGATATATGGTCTTGTGTTGACATTTGGATTTTATGTGCACTATAAGTGACACAGGGAAGCTATTTTTAAGACTCGCATATCTTAAAGATTACGCTGAACCACTCAGAATCCTTGAATGCATCAAGTTGAGGTAAGTGACTCTTCCCATCCATACTATTAAGGTATTCCACGGTTTAAAAGACATATCTACATGATGGTCTTAAGTGTGTGCTTTATTCACACGAAACCATTGGCTCATCATCCTGACATCGATTTCAAGTAAATCGAATGGATAACATTGCAGAATTCTCCTTGAGTGCCTTCTCTATGGACCTTAGATTGGAGTTTAGCAATTTGTCCTAATGTTTAGACTTAAAATGATTTGATAGAATCCTATTCAAAGAGTTAAGCTCATTGCATTATCTTTACTTTAAAACTGTAACTTACCAACTTTACGTTGGAGTCATGCCGTTTTAACATATTAGAGCAAGAGCGTTCTCCAACGACGTCTTTCCCCCTTTAATACTCCGGCCGGATGGATTAAGTTAGATAACATCTCACTTGTTACGGCTACGCTACTAGTTGTCCACTACTACTCGGCAGCAGCCATCCAGCGTCCCGTGCAACATTTCGGTTCCATATACTAGCCACTAGCATTACTCAAAATCTCCGAAGGATCCAATTCGCAGCTCAGTGAGCGGGCGGCGTCTCCCTCGCATCGCAGCCGGTCGCCGATCGAACGCCGCCGACTCCATCCGCGCCAGCTAGTCCCTCGGCCGCGCCAGCCAGAGGGAGCTCAGCGCGCGGAGCCGGGAGAAGTAGTCGCTGATGACGAGCAGCGCGCGGGCGGCCTGCCGGGTCGTCAGGATGCGGTGCATCTGCTGCAGGGTCTGCTGCCTCAGGAGGTCGCCCTGCCGGAGGAAGTTCTCCAGCGTGCTCAGCTTCCCCATGGCGATGGCCATCTGCCCCATGTAGTTGGTCACGTTGGCGGCGCCGGCCAGCGGCCCGGCCCCCGCCGCCGCGGCCAGCGTCTCGGACAGCGCCTGCTGCAGGGCCTCCATCCCCTGCGACAGCGCGTCCTCCGCCTGCTGCGACGACTGCTGCAGGTTGCAGATGCCCATCAGCTGCTGGTCCGTCAGCGGCTCCAGGTGGCTGGCCAGTACCTGAACGTGTCATCGTCCCAGATTATCCATGGATGTCGTATCAAGGTCCCTCAAGGTCTAGGTGGCAATGAAGGCTGCTGGCTGGAGTACCTACCTTGAGGATCTCCGACGAGCGGAACCCGCCGAGCCACATGAAGAACCGCTCGGCGGGGCTCATCCACATGCCCGACAGGACGTGGAACACGTCGGACTTGGTCGCCAGGTTCTTGAGCCTGAAGAACTCGTCGTAGTGCAGCAGCACGGACTCGACGAGGATGCGCAGCTCGTCGTCGCCCATGTCCGCGATCACGGCCACCCTCAGGTTGTTGATGTGGCGCTGGTGGTCGTCGAGCCACCGCGCATACTCCAAATCGAACGCCAAGGCGCCTGCAACACCACATTTTCTTCAGTTAAAATGGAGAAACAAAGCTACTACTGATCTGTCAACATATGTTACATATCAAATTTGAAGCAGAGGTACCAACATTACAGAACTGCGCTGCAGAATCACTAGTGCAACAGCATGTTCAAACTAGTAGCATGGGAATAAATAGATTGCGTGATGAATAAAAATGTGAGCACTGGAAATATCATTTACCTCCGCTTGAGCAGTCACCGGAGCCACCACCGGCGATGAAGATTCCCTGTGATAAATGCCCAGGTGATCAATCAATGACCATTGACCACAGACCGGTGTTAAAAATGCAGACTGGCATCCAAGGATTTACCTGCTGCCTTGCCCTCTCAAGCTCTTGCTCAAGGTGCGTCAGCTTGGATCGGCTGCTTTCCAGCTGCGCTAGGTAAGCCTTCAAACCGGAAAAGAAAAGGCTTAAATCGTCACGTTCGTGCATATAAAGGCCAGAAGAACAAATTACATGAAACGATGCAGAGTGTTGTACCCTCTAACAGGAATATTTACGAAGCTTATTGTGCTACAAATAGGTACTCCCTTCGTTCCGAATTACTTGTTTTGGATTTGTCTAGATACATGTATCTAGACTCATTTTAGTGTTAGATACCTCTGTGTCTAGACAAATCTAAGACAAGTAATTCGGAACGGAGGGAGTAATCAATAAAGTCAAAACACAAGGAGAACTACTATGATACTACTAAGATGAGCAAATTCAGAATGTGACGCTAGCTTTCCAAGAAAGATGCTTCTACTATGATACTACTAGTATTCTTGCATCCTTCAAGTAGAAATGGTGGTGCCCACATTGACCATAAGAATATACTAATTGGAGTAGTAGTAGTACTACTAGTACTATATGCTTAGGAAAATCCCTTCAAAAAATGCTTACGAAATATAGTTCATATGCCGGAAAAGGAAAACACATAGGAATGAATGGCATGCAAGATTTGCATATAAACAAGCAGCCCTACTGTGAGTGGCAACCAAATGAATCCACGGATCACTTGGCCGCCGTTTTCTATTCGACAGGAACAAATGAATCAGACTACATAATGGGAGGGATCAGCTCACCTTCTTCCTGATGCGGCTTTTCCGGGCCGCCTCGCGGTTCTGTGCAAGCCTCCGTGCGGTCTGCAAATCACAGTCGCTCATACGTAAGAATTACAACCACATTTGCTACCTACAAGATCATATTTCATCGAGCATCCGATTCATGTATATGTATGGTATTGGTACCTTCTCATCTCCTGTTCTTTCAGAGGAATCGACACACCCCACCCGTCGTTGGGAATGCGCCCCTCCGCCGGCGCCACCACCGCCCTGTCAACAACAGCAGTAAACCGCATTACATGGCGAGTAGGGCGAGTTAACTGACCAAGAGCGAGAGGATATGAAAGGAGCGGGCACCATCAGGGCGTGGTGCTTGTCGCCGCTGTCGTCGAGGTCCGTGGAGGTCTCGGTGAGCGGGCTGGTGACGACGATGCCGGAGAGGGAGTCGCCCCAGTTCTCGAGCTGCTGCACGGCCGCCCTCGGCGTGCAGAACCGGCCCTCCGCCGCCGCAAATGCCATTCCCGGCGTCGCCATGCCCAACGACCCCACTACTCCATGCTGCCACAATAATAGTCAAACACAAGATTGAAGAATCTGGACACGCCGGAGTTCACCAAAGCCAGAACCCCAGAAATGCTCGCAAGAAACCCACTCACCGGACTGGCGAGCGACGGGAAGTTGGCGACGGTGACGTTGCTGGAGGACTTGGAGCTGGGGTTGGGGCCTTCACAGTCACAGGGCCAAGCAAACGCATACATCAGGACGCGCAGGCATAGATCCAAGAGCAGGTCGAGGAGCAGGGTGAATAGTTCTTGGAATGCAAGCGGCAGTGCCGCGGGCGCCCCTTTCCGAAGGAAAATAAAGAAGCGGCGCTACTCACTGCGGGGGTGGTGGAGGAGCTCGGGGGGGAGCTGCGCGGCGCCATCTCCGATGTGGTGGTGGTATCCAGCCGTGACGCCACGCTCCGCCCTGCAAGCAGCACGAGGGGCGCGGCCACGGACGCGCGCAAGGCAACAAAGGGTTAGCGCGCGGGGCGGGCCGGTCCAAGGGAGAAGACAGAGCTCGCAGCGCAAGAGAACAAAGGACGAGCCGAGCTTGGGTGGCCACTGGCAATAGTATAACTGCGCTACCGGACATGGGCGATCGCTTTCTCCGCTACTGTAGCCGCGTGGGTCGGGTTACCTGAAGACGTGGAAAGGCCCAGGGTGGTGATGCATCGGGGGCCGGAGGAGGCAGGGTCGACGACGAGGACGAGGACCACCGTCACCGCCGCCGCCGCCGGGAGCAAGCTGGGAGATGGATGGGGACTCGGACTGTTGCAACTGTTGCGTGGGCGTGGCGCGTGGTCATGGTGTGTCATGCGCATTGCCACTTATAATGGCGGGACGAGGAGGAGGAGGCGGGATTGGAAGGCCGTGGGAGAATTGAAGGGGGGTAGGATCGGATGGAAATGAAAAGATATGATGATGATCCGGACGTGTCCATCGGTGCATGTCAGAGGGATCCATCTGTCCATCCATCGGTCCAGTCTTTGGGTTCCGTCGGAGATCAGGCGTCAATCAGCCGAGATGGCTGGGCAGGCAGGCAGCGCTATGGTGTAAGCTTTTGTATGCGAGCGCGTTTGCGTGTGCAGGGGGCTCCCGGGCACATGCGTCCATGGATGGGGCAGTGTAAAGGCTGTGGCCATCTTGAACTGAGGCCGTCGTACGCCTGTAGCTAGTATTACGCCTATGCGTTGATGGTGACGGTAGTGGTAGGGGCAGGATTATAATAGGTTTGTAGCCATTGTTGTTTGGTCCTAGGTAGGGTGTAGCACTGTTGTAACTTCAGTTCTTCTTTGACTAGAACACAGTACGGCAGTGAGCACAATGAAAAGTGGGAGGGGGCACGAGAGGGCACCCCTGAACCCATGGGCATTTCCACCCATTTTTTTTTAAAAAAAATGCATTTTAAGCATGTTTTAAAATGTTAAAGAATTCAAAAGAAAATATCATGCATACATGTTCGTAAATGTGTGTACACGACACAAAGTTTTATAAAAAAATTTATTTTATTTTGTGTTCGTAAAAAAAGACAAATTCCAGTGCTTCTAAATAGTGTTCCACAACATAATTTTTTGTATGTGAAACTTTATGCATGCACAGAGAACATGGAGACGTACCTATGCAACTTTTTTCAGATTTTTTTAGCAGTTAGAAATTAGTTTTTTTTAAAGTGGGTTCATATGTACCCGGTTCATTCATGCACTTCTTGAGGGGGTATATTTTTTTCTTTTCTTTTGCGAGAAAACTTTTGATCTACTCATCTTCAATCATGATAGTACAACGAACAATAAGAATAATAAAAATTACATTCAGATCCGTAGACCACCTAACGACAAGTACAAGCACTGAAGCAAGCCGAAGGCGCGCAACTGTTATCGCTCCTCCCTCTCGGGAGCCGGGCAAAACTTGTTGTAGTAGACAGTCGAGAAGTCGTCATGCTAAGGCCTCATATGACCAACGCAAAAAAACATCAACCGCCACCGAAGAAGAGTAGCGTAGATCAAAAGGATCCAACCTGAAAACACTCTAACATAGACGAATGACGACCAGGTCCGAGCAAATCCATCAAAGACATATTCGCTGGAGACACATATCCACACGCCCACCGACGATGCTAGACGCACCACCGGAACGGGGGCCTAGGCGGGGGAAAACTTATTCCATCTTCAGGGAGCCACTGTCGTCTCGCCTTCCTGAGCAGGACACAAAGCCTAACAAAACTCAAAGAAAGATATAAAAACAGAGCCCTCCCACCAGCAAGGGTCGGGATCCACTCCGCTCCCATGGCCCTAAGGCCACCAGAGATGAGGCGGACCGGCGGCGATGCCGGCAGGAGGCAGAGAAACCCTAGCTTTAGGGGAGGGGGCACTTCAACTATTCTACTAACCAAAATAGGTTAGTTGCAACTCGTACTCCGGGCATATACATTATCTTTCTTTCAAAACCAAATTGAGGGCATCTCTAATGCTGACCCTCAAATTTGCTTCGACGTCTCTCCGCAGACAGGGGACCATTCCGCAGATACTGATGTCGGAAATCACCGTCCAACGTTGCCCGCATACATTTCAACCATTATTGGAATTAAGCAAACAAAATTTATGCAAACCGACCGGATTTTCATATAAACAGGAAGAGATTCATGCAAACACAGCAGCTTGAGCAACTAATCGGCCGCCGATTATCAGCCTGCCAAGCTTGGCTTCAGGCAGAGGGGAAGAGCGGTGGCCTTCCTGGGACCCGAGCGACGATGACCTACCATGCACTACTCTTCCTTGCCGAAAGGATCGATATGGTTGACTAGAGGGGGGGGGGTGAATAGGCAACTAACAATTTTTAGCTTTTTTTTAACAATTTAAACTTTGCATCAAAGTAGGTTGTCTAGATATGCAACTAGGTGAGCAACCTATATGATGCAACAAGGATAGGAACACAAGCAAGCAAGTGATATGATACAAATAAGCTTGCACAAGTAAAGGCACGAGATAACCAAGAGTGGAGACGGTGGAGACGAGGATGTGTTGCCGAAGTTCCTTCCCTTTGAGAGGAAGTACGTCTCCGTTGGAGCGGTGTGGAGGCACAATGCTCCCCAAGAAGCCACTAGGGCCACCGTATTCTCCTCACGCCCTCACACAATGCGAGATGCCGTGATTCCACTATTGGTGTCCTTGAAGGCGGCGACCGAACCTTTACAAACAAGGTTGGGGCTCTCTCCACAACTTAATTGGAGGCTCCCAACGAAACCACAAAGCTTCACCACAATGGAATATGGCTCCGAGGTGACCTCAACCGTCTAGGGTGCTCAAACACCCAAGAGTAACAAAATCCACACAAGTATGGGGGAAGCAAATATCCTTTGGTGGAAGTGTAGATCTAGGTCTCCTCCTTCAATCCCTAGCAAATCAACAAGTTTGAGTGGCTAGAGAGAGAGATCGGGCAAGAGAGCTTGAAGTGCATTAATGGTGGAGTGAGAGAGGTCAAAGGTAAGAGTGGTAGGTGGGAGAAGCTCCCTTATAAAGCAACCCTAGATTCCAACCGTCACAACATTTTTTGCACTGCAGCGGTACAACCGGTCCTCGTCCCGGTACAACCGGGACTCACGGTGTATCTGCAGAACCCTACCAAGCGGTACAACCGGACCTGCGGGCGGTAGTACCGGCTAAGAAAAATAATCGGACCAACCGCCTAGCCACCGCACAACCACCACATCAAAACAGGAGCTTGACCGGTACTTGGGCGGTGCCTGGCCGGAACAACCGCATGGCCTTGAGCTTTTGGGCGGCTAAGTTCTGAGCGGAAGAACCGCTCGGACCACCGGTGGTACCGGTCATCGAGGAACGACCGGACCAACCGGGTCACTACCGCCCAAGAACCGCATCAAAACAGAAGCGCGAGCGGTACTTGAGCGGTGCATGGACGGAACCACCGCCTCAGATTTTGCAGAGCATGGTGGCGGTACCACCGCCCGGGGGCAGCGGTACAACCGCTCGAGCAAAGCTGATGAGCGACAAGACCCAGCGGTACAACCGCTCCAGAGAGCGGTACAACCGCTGGGTAGAAACGGTGAACATGAATAGATAGGGGAAGAGACAAGGAAAACTCTCTCTCTCACACACCTGAGAAAGACAAAGGAGGGGTGATGAAGGTGTACGTGAAAAGATTCCCCCAGTTCTTTCTAATGAAGATTCCCTCTTGATAGTACGGGTTCCCTAGGACCAAAGAGATAAAAAGCATAGGGGAATAGCTTTCCGATGTAGGCCTAAGCGTCAAGAACCTGAAACATTCAGCACAGGATTAGACCAACAAAGGGTTGTCATCATCATCCAAAACATAAAGTAGGGAAATGCCCTTTCAATCTCCCCCTTTTTGGTGGATGATGACAACAACATGATTTGCAAGAGAGAAGACTACAAAATCTAGACAGAACTCCCCCGGGATGTGTGCCCCAATAAGAACATGCTGTAAGAAAGCATGGGCACACTTTTAGGGCTAGAATCCCCCTAGATTTTATAGACTCACCACTCTAAGCACATAATATGGGAGACAACATAACAGATAGATAGCAATAATAACAATAATAATAACCAAAATAACCGACGAACTAATAGCAATAAAAGGAGTAGCATAAGTCTCACACACAGCAAGAAACCACGATCATGGTTCAACACTAAAGAGAAACACGAGGAAACGAGAAACCCAACCCATGCAAATCCCGAGACCTATAGAACCCTCTCCCCCTTTGGCTTCAAGACACCAAAAAGGAAAAGAGCGAAGCTAGCATCCCAAAGCTCAGTAGTCCTCCTATGACTCCTCGGTCGCATCTGGATCCTCATCAGCAGAGTCATCATCGTCGTCGGGATCGGATTCCTCCATGGCATTGTCAGCAGCAGCAAAAGAGGTGGATGGTTGGGGAGGAGCCTCATCATCAGACCTGGTGCTGTGGGTTGAAATCCAACGCTCCTCTGGGGTGATGCTCTTCTCAGAGCCACTCTGTACCAGCATATTGAGGTGCTTCATCATTGCAATTTGGCGACGCCGTGCAAGCTTCTCATTGACATATGCCTCATACATCTTCTTCTGGATGTCAGCCTGGAGACAAAAGGTCTTCTTCACCTTGGCAGTGAGCTTGGCTACCCAAGAGGGCTTGGCCCCTGGCTCCATCTCAAAGTCCTCATCGTCAGAAGTGGCATAGACATACTCAGGAGCATTGGCAGGGAAGCGGGGCTCGGCGTGCTTCTTCTTCTTAAGAAGCTTGACCTCATGAACAGTGAGATTGTTTGGAGAGGTGAGGAGCTCTCCAGGACAACGAACAGCCCACACAGAGTTCAGAAAGCACATGACAAACGGAGCGTAGATTGGGACCTTACGGTAGATGACCATGTTGTACATTTCATGGCACAACCAATTTGACACATCAAACGTTGCACCAGTCCCCACCATGGTCTTCATAGCAACCATCAAGTCAACCAGATAGCCATGAATCTCATCTTGGTTGCCCACCTTGGGCAAGAGCACATTATGGAACACTCGGTGCATGATGTCATAGACCTTCTCCAAATCCTTGAATTCTCCAATAATCCCATGACCCCGAATGTGTAGAGGGGCAAGCTTCTCCTTAGGCATGGACTCAGGATGGTCATGAGGACGAATGCCACCCCTTCCTTCCAGACCGGTAT